GTCCGGGAGCCCTCAGAATCCACTCATGAACCCACTCCAGTCCGGGAGCCCTCAGAGTCCACTCCAGAGCCGCTCCAGTCCAGGAGCCTTCAGAGTTCACTCATGAACCATTCCAGTCCGGGAGCCCTCAGAGCCCACTCCAGAGCCCACTTCAGTCCGGGAGCCCTCAGAGTACACTCCAGAGCCCACTTCAGTCTTCGAGTCCGCTCTTGAGCCCGCTCCAGCCTTTGAGTCTGCTCCAGAGTTAATTCCAGTCTTCGAATCTGCTCCTGAACCTGCTTAAGTCTATAAGTTCACTCCAGAGCTTGCTCCAGTTTATCAGTCCGCTCCAGATCCTGCTCCAGTCTATGAATCCGCTCCTGAGCCCGCTCAAGTCTACGAGTTAATTCCAGAGTTCCCTCCAGTCCACTCCAGTCTGCTCCAGAGTCGGTTCTAGTCCATGAATCCACTTCTGAGCCCACTCAAGTTTATGAGTTCACTCCTGAGCTCGTTCCAGTCCATCTGCCGTATGTCACAGCCATCTGCTGGAGTGTCCATGACAGCCACCAGAGGGCACTCCTCTCGTATCATTGCCTTTTGCCTGTGGACTTTATTTCCCATCACCATCAGGTCTCATTGTTTCCAGCTGTGTGTCATTAGCCTTGTTAATTCCCCTATTTATACCCTATGTTCACTTAGCATTGGGTGCTGTAGTATTGCACTGTGTTTCTGTGTGGGTTTTGCTGACATCTGTTTTTTGTTTGGTTTTTTTGGTAGTACCCTGGGCTGGTGCTCTCTGTCTTTTGTCTTATGTGACTCTTATTTAAAGCTGCACTTGGATCTTTCGCAAAGTCCCAGAGTATTCTGTCATAGATTCACCAACAATGTTCATAATTTAAAATGTACAATTTTAAATTCTAATGTAGGAACAACTGAAATCACATGTAGGTAAAAGCACATAATCATGGTAAGATGATAATTATATTTGCAGGAGTAGTGTGTTGTTTAGGTGTACATTTTTCTCCTGCACGTAAAAATATGAAATAGTCCACATAATTATTAGTGAATGAGACCAAGTTTACTTAGAACAAAGAAAAGACTACCATTGTTTTGTGTTTCAGATCTCTGTTACCTGCAGGAAATGGACGTGATCATCTGTGTGTAAAAGCTGCTCCAGTTCAGCATTTCTACTCATCAGATCATCAATCTCCTGCTCTAATTGCAGCAAGAGTCCTTCAGCTCGACTCACTGCAGTCTCTTCCTGAGCTCTGATCAACTGTATCACCTGAGAGCGGCTTCTCTCAATGGAGCGGGTGAGCTGAGTAAAGATCCTCTCAGTGTCGTCCACTGCTGCTTGTGCAAAGCGCTGTCAGACACACATCACAATAAGCACTTACTGCTGCCTCACACAGCCTGAAAGACACAGTGAGCTTCAACGGGAATGAAAGTCAAACTCACCTTATGAGACTTCACAGCGTCTCTCAGCTCCTGGAGCTGATTCTGTCTCTCCTGAATTCCCTGCTGGAATTTTCTTTGTGTTTCTCCCAAAAGCCTGTGTTGGGAAAACGAAAAGGCTGTATAATCTCAGACACCAAATCAGTATGTAAGTACATTTCTAATACTTTCATGACAATGATATGAGATTTTGCATATGGCAGCCCATAGAACCGCTTACAGGAAAGTTATGAAATTTGGCACACAGAGAGAGGACAGTCTCAACTATACAAAAACAGCAATTTTGGAGTCTCTAACTCAAAAACCCTCTAGCGCCACCAACAGCTCAAATTTGCAGTCACATTTCTGCTAATAACTTTGGCACAGTGCCACCTAGTGGTTGGGAGATATGAAAAATGGCTACGATGTACCGAGACATAGCAAGCGAAATTATATCCAATGTTCCCATTATTGGCGTCGGCCAGTTAGAATTTAGTAAAAAGCTGTATTTTATGAATGCATTTGCATATCCTTATGAAATTTGTTATGTGCAACATGCCCTGAAGGTAATCAAAAAGTTTCAGGGGAGTGCCACCTTGTGGTCAAAATTATAAAGAGAATTTTTCAAAACAACTCCTAGACCGCTGGTCAGATTTTCACCAAATTCATGTCAGATTTTGTGTCGATAGACTAAATGGTTTGCGTTTAACGAATCTTTGAATTTGATGACATGATGCCAAACTGCATTTGAGGCTGTAACTCTGACACAGTCACACCAAACTTTCTGTGTCATTGTCACCTCACACTGAACACCCCACATCAATTTTATAACAACGCCACCTATTGGCCAAAAGTGATAAACCATTAAACTAGTGAATAAACTAGTCATATTACTAGTGGTTTTATTTATGATTTTTGAGTAAAATCTTAAAATGTCTTTAATTATTCATTGTTGCAGTTGTTCTGGTGCTCAGTGTCATTTTTACCTCCTCATTTTGCCTCTGTTGTGCTTGGCCCCTTAATTGCTGCTTGCAGCTATATTTTAGCATTAAGCATTAGCACATTAGAGTCTAATTTCAGTTCATACCTGTTTCTCTGTCCTTTCTGCTTCAGCTGTTACAGTGTCATGGTTTTTATGTTCGTCAATCAAACACGGAAAACAAATGAATTGCTGATCAGTACGACAGTAGATTTCCAGCTGTTTGTTGTGTTTTGGGCAGATCATCTCATGGAGTCGTCTAATGGGATCCATCAGATTATGTCTCCTGTCTTTAAAGAGATTCTCATGTTGTTCAAGATGACTTTGACAGTAAGAGTTCAGACACTCCACACAGGACTTGACGGCTTTGTATTTCTTCCCAGTACAGACGTCACACTCCACATCTCCAGGTTCAGCTGTTTGTAAGTCTGTCGTCTTCAGTTTCTCCACCATTTCAGCAATTATGACATTCTTACATAAAGCAGGTCTTGAAGTGAAGGTGTGTCTGCACTGAGGGCATCTGTAGACTCTCTTCTGTTTCCAGCAGTCTGTAATACAGCTCATACAGTAACTGTGTCCACAGGGAATAGTCACTGGATCATTCAGGAGATCCAGACACACTGAGCAGCTGAACTGGTCCTGAGAAAAACTGGCTTCTGCCATTTTAATATATGTACATACAAACAGAGACGCGCATACGACAGCTTGACAACACTTAAGCGACACTCAGCTGACAAACTGAAGTATTTCCTGGTTCTGTTTCAGTGAAGTGTGAAAAACCGGTATGTCTGCATGGTTTGACTAACCTTTATAACACTGTAACATGACACTGTATTTTACATTGTAACATTTACTTACACATTACATTTACAATATCCCATTCTATGTAATTGAAATGGTGGTATGTGAGCATCTATTCTTAATGTATATATTGTTGAAGTATGTATACATGCATATACATATATACAGTGCATACATACATACATATATGTGTGTGGGTCCATACAACGGACTTGCAGAGTTTCTTCTTTACATGTAAGCTAAACTTCGAGTTAACTTAAAATTATTCCTAATATGATGAGCCTTTTTAGAAAGTAGACTAATTTTGTACTTCAAAGAAAAGTATGTAATTTTGTGATTTACCTTGTAGCTGGTTGGTTTGGTTTATGGCTTATAACGTTTTAATAAAGACCTTTTTTTAAAATCCTTATGGGAAAATGAATGGAAAAAATACCACGAAAACTAAGGTGCTCTATATTGTGTGTAATTTTTTCAGCCCATCTCCCTGATTTCACTCTACACCTAAGTGCGACTGGCCTCTCAGGGAGGTTCGTTTACTAAATGGTATGTCTGCTGATGAAGGCATGGGTACTGCCGTGATGTTGGCATTTTTAACTGTTTCAGGGATTTTTCATAGACTGCTGTTGGTTTCCAAGTGTTTCAGAATGAGCTATCATGAACAACTTGAACTGTGCGGCTTTACATTTCTACTCTGGACACAACTTGCCATGACATGTTGCATCAAAAGCACATAGAAACCAGTGAAAAACAAATGTAAAAATGTATCTAATTTCACTGTAACATATCCCCCATCATCTCTAGACTTTCATGTTGAAGTTTGAGGTTCCTGATTCTTGTTTTTGCTGTTTAATTAGGCCAATTTTTCCCAGGTGTTTCTAGCTCTCTCATTATCCCTTGTGTTTATATACCCTGTGTTTTCCCTTGTGTTAGGAATGTGGAAATCAGCTTCATAAAGTTCTGAGGTATTCCCATTACAGTTCCAGAAAAGATGCAAAGCTTCCAGAGTGTTGAAAACAGCACAATCTGGTGGTCAGTAATAAATAAAGCAGCCAAAAGCCTGTTTAAGAAACTGTTGGATGAAGCTGCCACCACACACGCCATAGTTTCATTGTGTGTTTGTGTGTGTGTGTGTTGAATTTCTCCCTCTGATAAATTAATCTACGCATTAAAATGTGTCAATAAATGCCAGTATAAACGAATATCAATATGGTGTAATAGAAGAACAACGTACACATATGAATAACAACGTTGTACATGTCAAGTATTTTGCCTTGAATAGTTTGTATTCTACATGGGGTTCGAACCTTCTTACAAGCAAAGTGAAGCACGCACGTGACTGGAGAGAAAATGAGGCTTTCTTTGTTGTCAATTGCGTGAAAACTATACACCCCCAAAACGAGGCTTCACTGGAATCTGTACTGCGTGCTTGATGCATGCCTCAAAGCTTTTAATCACTCATTTTGGGGTCAGTTGTTGTGGATGTAACCTCTGATTTGGATGTCTCCAGTGTTTCCATTTCCTTCCGTGTTCCATGTATTCTTGTCATGGTTATCCTTTATGTTTTTGTTTAATTTGAGTTCCCCGTTTCCCAGTTTCCTGTTTTGTTCTTTCATTTATTAAACCTCTTGCATTTAGAGCCAGGGGTAGCATAACCGGGGTGAAGTTTAAGACAGTTCCAAGGGCCCTGATCAGAGAGGGGGCCCGACGGAAACAACCCCCGGAACACAGTTTCTACCGAGGGGGCCCGAGTTAGTATGCTGTTCAGGGGGGCCAGAAACCATAGGGGCGTCCCTGTTTAGAGCCACACCCATCTGTCTGCCTTCCTTTTTCTCCCTGCCTGCTTGTTATTACAGAATCAAGCTGGCTTCTCTATATATTCAGAATAAGCATTATTTTCTCACATCTTAGAAATGATAAGCCTATTACCAAGCATTCATTTCGATCTGCAGTCTAATAAATGTTAAACAGAAAAGTAAAACGACACACTCTGAGGAAGGCTGGATGGCCGAAATGCATCAGTGTGCAGTGTTTTAGTCATTTTTAATGTTTCTAGAGTGAGCCATGTTTGAATAAAGGCTTTTTAACATGTTGGAACTGGAAGAAGTGCCTTGGATCCGTAGTTTCTATAGAAAAGTAAAATGGTTTACAACTGCACTGAATCTTCACTGTTAAAAAATGTCTTCACTGTAAAAATTGTAATAAATTAAAATAAATATCCAAGTTGTTGTCACTAGGTACAACTTCATATTACAAGCTGACTAAACCTAAAATGTTAAGGCAGCATGAAGAATTTCTTTCTTTCCTCTTTTTTTTTTTTTTTTTTACAGTTTATCTAAATACTCTGCATAATGAAGAAATGTGACACTTGTTAATAAAATACATTTTGTGCATATAGTATACAATTGAATAACATGTAATATAGTTGTAATATAATGTTATTTAAAAATTATGTTGGAACCATATTTATTTATATTTATGTATGTATTTATTTATTTAACAATATTCCTAAAATTAGTTTTCTTTAATGATGATGCCATCACGCACAGTATTTTATTGGTAAAAGGCCAGTTGTAAGAAAGCGAGCTATTTCTTTCATTTTCAGAATGTATTAGTAGTAAACACATCAGAAAAACAAAACGACTACTGCATTTAGTGTGTGTGTGTGTGTGAGGCAGAGTACAGAGACTGTTTTCCTGCTCCTCCCAATGCTCAGCGAAACATATTTCCTCTCTTACTGTTGATATAGGTCTACTCTAAAAAAAATTGCTTTTACACAGCGGACTCCTCTGATTCATTGCCTTAGAATCAGAAATTCAGGGGGTGTTCACTGCATGCTAATATTTTCCAGGCTTTGTTTTGTTTCCTGGAGACAGACATTTTCCTGAAGAATGAAATGAAAAAAGCTTAAGGGCAAGTGTCCTGGAGTGTCATACTGATGGGGAACTGATTCTGACTCAGTAATCTGCAACAAAGACTCGGAGCTGATTACAAACCATGGATGTTTTAAACCCAGAGGACTACAGCTATGAGGACTATTATAACGCAGAAGGACTTGAGGAATTTGGGCTCTGCAAGAAGACACATGTAAAGGAATTCAGCCATGTGTTTCTACCTGTGTTCTACTCCATTACTTGTGCATTGAGCATTATTGCTAATTTGACCCTTCTAACATTGTTCATCAAATACAAATCTCTGAGGAAGGTGTTGCCTCTGCACATGGTCATATCGGATATTCTTTTCACACTCAGCCTTCCCTTCTGGGCAGTGTATGCCAGCAGCGAGTGGATCTTTGGTGATCTAAGCTGTAAGGCAATCTCATTGGTTTACATGGTGAGTTTGTATAGCAGCAACCTGTTTGTTGCTAGTCAGAGCTTGGAGAGATTTATGGACCTTGCATGTGTTGCTTCTACCACCAGCATCTTCAAAAGTCCAAAGAGGAATACTATCGTGTGCATTTTGGTGTGGCTTTTCTCAGTTTTGGGTGCGGCTGTTCATGTCAGCTTCGTTGAGACGCAAACGTTCCACGACCAGTACATTTGTACTTATCACTTCAATGATAAAGTCGGTTGGAAAATCTATGCAAGATTTCAGATGAACATACTTGGGTTCGTCGTACCGTTTCTAGTGCTCCTATTCTGTTCCATCAGACTACCATGTGTTGCTGAGGTGAGGAGCGCGTTCAAGGTGTTTAGACACGAAGCTGGATTCACCGTCATGTTTTTTCTCCTCTGGTTCCCCTACAGTGTGGTCATTTTCCTGTATGCTTTGCAAGACCTTCACATTTTTTATGCATGCACCACTAACATACACTTTGACTTTGCCATTCATGTGACAGAATGTATCGCTTTCATGCATGTTTTCATCAATCCTGTTCTGTACATCTTTTTAAACAAAAAAGTCTGGCGACGACTCAGAAATGCCTGCAAAACCCCAAGGGAGTATCTGCTCGAGGAATCCAACAGTTCATCTGTCATGTCAAGTCAGGGCGGAGCTATAGAGTTGAAGGCGGTTCAGCGATATCAAGCTCATGACCTGAGCATTAGTGCTGAACGACCTAATAACTTCTTACCTGAGCCAATGTAAAAGCTTCATTTCGTTTATCGCAGCTTTTAATAGTTATGCCAACAATGCTGTTTACACTGCACTACTCTTTTCACTGTTTATGTTAGTTTGGGTTTATATGCCAATACATAATGTTTTCAGTAAAATTTGTTGAAGTTCTTTCCACAAGCAATGGCTGATCTAGCAAATATAAAACCAAAGACAAATTCATGCATGTGTGAGCCTGTGAGGTTTCCAAAAAGGATCAAAATACTGTATATCACCATTTTGCTGTCTAACTAAAATGCTCATGAATTGACACTGCTTTCAACAGTTCAGTGATTCTGAGATATCAGTTCACCCAGTGGTCTTTCCCCAACATTCTTATCATAAAGATAACGTTAGCCTTGTCCCGTCACCCTTCAGATTAAAAATTACTCTGTTAGAACTTAGGTGCACAATTTAACAATGCTCAGTGGATATTTAGCCTTTTTTATCTTCAAGAACTTCAGTGAAGTTTGGATAGATATGATGTTTTGATATCAGAATCAGAATTACTGGAATTTTTCTTGGTAGTCAAGCACACAATATGCACACATTCACATTTGAGGCATAACTTCATTGTTGTATACAAAATATATTTATTACAATAGATATTTAAAAGAAACAATAATGTATTCCACTTTTACCAAAGCTGCTGTGATATTTTGTTTATATTATGCGGTACATTTTGCTTATATTGTTATGCAAGACAGTGGTATTTTGAAACATTTTAAACCTATTTTTAATAGTCTTTATGTCTTTACCAGAATTTATTTTAA